GGTTAATGGGCCTACATGGGCCATGAGGGAGAAGAGGAGGGCCGGCCAGGGAAGGGCCGCATGCCCCCTCTCCCCCTAGTCCGAATAGGACAAGGAGGGGGGGGGGGCGCCCCCCTTTCCTCTTTCTCCTCCCCCTTTCCTGCTCCACCAAGGCAAGAGGAGGGAGTCCTACTCCCGATGGGAGTAGGACTCCTCCAGGCGCACCCCTAGGGGGGCGGCCGCACCTCCCCCCTCCCTTCTTTATATACGGGGCAGGGGGCACCTCTAAACACACAAGTTGATCTTCGTGATCGTTCCTTAGCCGTGTGCGGTGCCCCCTCCACCATATTCCACCTCGGTCATATCGTTGCGGTGCTTAGGCGAAGCCCTGCGTCGGTAGAACATCATCATCGTCACCACGCCATCGTGCTGATGGAACTCATCCCCGACACCCTACTGGATCGGAGTCCGGGGATCGTCATCGAGCTGAACATGTGCTGAACTCGGAGGTGCCGTATGTTCGGTGCTTGGATCGGTCAGATCGTGAAGACGTACGACTACATCAACCGCGTTGTCATAACGCTTCCGCTTTCGGTCTACGAGGGTACGTGGACACACTCTCCCCTCTCGTTGCTATGCATCACCATGATCTTGCATGTGCGTAGGATTTTTTTTGAAATTACTATGTTCCCCAATAGCAAGATGACTAGAAGAAGAGACGGTGGAGGAAGTTGTGCGTACGGCGTGGCAGAAGGCAGTCGTTAGGGGGCTTTGCCCCTCGGCTAGTGAGAAACTTGCAGCAGTGCATAAAGATCTTCATCAATGGGAGAGGAAAGCATTGAAGGGTCCTCGAGCCAGACTGAAAGCAGCGCAGCAGGATCTAGAGGCACTGATGCGAGAACCATATGATGCTGACGCACGGGCAAAACAGCAGGAGTTGACGCTCAAAATTGAAAATATCCTAGAGCAAGAGGAGATTTACTGGGCCCAAAGGGGACATGCAAAGTGGCTTCGTCGTGGTGACCGTAACACCCAATTTTTTCATCAGTTTGCTTCGGCACGTAGGCGTCGTAACTTGATCAAGAAACCGAAAGATAATAATAATGCATGGGTTGAGGGGAATGATAACCTCAAGCCTATGATCTTTGATTACTTCCAGAATCTGTTCTTATCGGATGCAGGGCTTATTGACGAAAATTTGCTGAATACTGTAAAACCCGTGGTCACGGGGCAAATGAATGACATCCTGATTGCCCCATACACGAGGGAAGAAGTAAAAAAAGCGTTGTTTCAAATAGGAGATATGAAGGCCCCTGGCCCTGATGGGCTTCATGCAATCTTCTTTAAACGCTTTTGGCATATCGTCGGAGAGGAATTGACGGATGAAGTTTTACAAGCAATAAATAACAAGAAAATTCCTCATGGGTGGAATGACACTAATGTGGTGTTAATACCTAAAGTGGACAGCCCAGAGGTAATCACTCAGTTCAGGCCCATTAGCTTATGCAATGTGATGTATAAAATCATTTCAAAAATGTTGTCGAATAGGTTGAAAAAAATCCTGCCTGAGGTAATTTCTCCTACACAAAGTGCTTTTGTGCCAGGTAGATTAATCACTGATAATGTGCTGATTTCTTATGAGTGTTTTCATTCCATAAAGAAGCGAACACATGGGTCGAATGGTATTTGTGCAGTTAAACTGGACATTCTAAAAGCATATGACAGAGTAGAATGAGAGTTTTTGAGACAGATGATGATGAGGTTAGGGTTTCATGAACGATGGATTGAGCTAATTATGGAGTGTGTCTCCTCTGTTAAATACCAGATCAGGTTTAATGATACAGAGATGGATGAGTTTATACCAACCAGGGGCTTAAGGCAGGGAGACCCCCTGTCTCCTTATCTCTTTTTGATTTGCTCTGAAGGACTTTCAAGTCTGTTGATGCATGAAGAGGAAATAGGTGGAATTGAAGGAATAAGAGTGGCCAGGAACACCCCTTCAATATCTCATCTTTTGTTTGCAGATGATTCTCTAATTCTTATGAGAGCCACGGTGCAAAATGCAACTACTTTGAAGAGTGTTTTAGATATATATTGTCAGAGCTCGGGACAACGTGTAAGTACACCTAAATCTAGTGTATTTTTCAGTCCTAATACCAGAGTTAATGAAAGAGAGGCTGTTTGTCAGTTGCTGAATATATTAACTGAAGCGTTGTCCGATAAGTATCTGGGATTGCCGACAATTGTTGGTGTTGATAGAAGTGATTGCTTTCAACATCTTGTTGACAGAGTGTGTCAAAGGCTGAAGGGTTGGAAGGAAAAATTCCTATCAGTTCAAGGTAAAGAAATCCTTTTCAAAGTGGTAGCTCAGGCAATTCCATCATATGCTATGTCTGTTTTTAAATTACCGAAAGGAATTTGCAAAGCAATTACTGATGAAATTTCGAGCTCGATGAAGCTTAATGAAATGTTCATCCCATTAATGAAATGAAAGCTTAATGTTGATGCATCATTTCATGAGGAGAATCTTCGTGGAGCATGTGCCGTTGTTGCACGGGATGAACATGGCAAATTCTTGGGAGCAGCGACACAAGTTCTATCTCATGTATCAAGCGCAGGATCAGCTGAAATCTTGGCTATTCGCTCCGGACTATACTTAGCAGCTAACATGGGATGTACCAAGATCATCATCGAATCGGACTGTATGCACGCCTTGGAGGCAATATTTGATCCAGCTACGTATATGGGAGTCGATGTTCCGGTCATGATGGAGTGCTCCATTTTGGCGATGCAATTTACAAGTGTTAGCTATGATTTTTGTAATAGAGAGGCTAATATGCTTGCGGATGGTCTGGCGAAGCATTGTCTTAGTAGTAGAATCTCTGAAAGTTGGGAATCCTCCGTCCCTGAATTTGTTCTTCACCTTTATGTAAATGATCTTGCCATTATTTGAGGAATAAAGTCATGACGTTCAAAAAAAAAGCTTTAGTATAGAATTGTACTAAAATTACAACACTTATTTTGGGATGGAGGGAGAACTATATGATGGTCTTTCAATTGTCGAAAAGGTTATGAAAATCCATCGAATACCTCCTTGGATGGTGTGCATACATGCAAAACAATGGGCCATACTAATCCTGCCCTCCTCTGTTCTAGACTTGCTAGTTACGTACTATATGACAGTCTTTCAGCTATCAAAAAAAGTTATCAAAGCGATCGACGCAATTGGTTATGTCTTATACGGGACGTCCAAAGAAACTTGTATTGGGCAGGTGTCTTACTGCATGGAAAAATGTTTGCAAACCAAGAAAATATGGCGGTTTAGGTGTAAAAAAACCTTCTTCTTTAGAACAAGTGTCTACTTATGACATTTGCTGAAAAACTTCTTGATCACATGCTTCACTAGTTCTTTGCTAAGAGAACCAATCCAAAGAAAACTACAAATAAATTGACAAACTTTAATAGAAACATCACTTCCCTAACCGCTCCTACTAGTCTGATAAATGCTTTCTATGCCTTCATTGCCTACATTGTTGCTTTTCTCTATTGACTTCTCGATCTTGCACACTTCTTTCTTCTCTGCCTCCTAAAACTTGAACATTGCGTCCTCTCTAGTCACATCTCTAGCAATTAGTGCATCAACATCTAGTAAATTTATCACTATCAATAGATAAATGTATTCTTCTTCCCAGTATCAAAACTTGCATATTTCCTACATACAGTTTTGAGCAAACAATGATTTTGGAATTGCGACTAATCCGAACAAGAACTGTACAAAATGGCACTCACTTTGTTCTATTCACACTTGTATAAAATCCATCCGGAATGTTTCGTCGTGCTCGAGATGAGGCGCAACACCACCTGCCAGCAGTGATCACACTTGATGACCAGTAGAGGTACGCCGACTAGCTGTTGGACAATGACTGAGCCTTGCTAACGGGGGACAGGACGGTGTCTGCGGTTGATCGACGCTTGAGATGCAAGCAGCGAGAGAGGACATACGGAGAGGCGGTAGGGGAGCGGTTGAGGTGGATGTGTGGTTCGGTCCCCGTCAAATCCCTCCAAAATGCATCGGCGCCTGGTTGCGTCGAATCCGACGGTCGCGGCGATGGCCGTAGCTTTGTCAATTTAGGCGCCGCCGGTGATGAGAACCGACCGAATCGAGGTGGGGAAGGAGCGCGGCGGGTGCTATGAGAGGTCGGCGGTGGCTTGTGGTGGACTACCGAGGCAAGTAGGGCGACACCAGAGTGGATGGGATGCAGGGTGGGTAGGGTGCGGCCAAGGGGGAGAGGAATTTTTTTACTCCGTGGGTGGGCGGCCGAGTATATTTAAGAGTCTGGCGGCCAAGGAGGACAATTGTTACTCCTCTAAAGCTTTTACGGGATCGGTCGTTAGGTGCAGGTTAAGGAAGTAAAAGTGAAATTTTATTCCTCTTTAGCTTTTTAGGGGATCGGTTTGAGATGCTCCAAGGCTTTGAACAATGCAAGGTGTTTAGAGAGATGATTAGTAAAATAGGTTGAGTTTTTCTCAAGCACTAGTGCTTATCTCTACAGAAGCGGTACCTAATTAGTCATCTATCCTTTACATATAAGCACGGTGCTTCAAGAAAAACTGATTTATTTCTCTAGGTACTTCCAAAGCACCTTGCATTGTACAAGGCCTAAAGGCTCCCGTGAGGGAAGATTAAATCTTATATTTCCCTCATGAACATTGATTATAGCTTTTAATAGTTCTTACAGATGATCTATCCAATATGATTGGTGGAGCTATAGGGTCTTCAGGCATGTCCACAATCACTAGATCAATAAGAGTTGGACATCCGTAACTTTGAACAACATACATTGTGCTTGATGCGTACAACTTGTGTGTATGTGTAGTCGGCCATAACTACCATCCTTACAGCCAATCCAATTTTAACACCACTACCCTGACCTTACATGGCGCTCACCTAAGGTAAGAATTTTTGCACTGCTCCTCTGTCTATGTCCAAGCACTATGTTCACAACAAAGAGCACTCGGGATCAACGGCCCAAGAACTGCACTTGTGGCTTCACCTTGCCCGCGACGCTCCCATGGGCATTCATAATCTTGGCTTTTGGTGGAGCAGTGTGTTTACACCATGATAGGTCGACATTATCGAGATAGATGTCGTGGCACGGCACGCTATTGCTGCACATGATCTTGATAGCCTCTCGCTCGGAGGACGTCCCATGGATGTTGATGAACCTCGCGTCCGTTATGGCCACACCACCTTGCTGCAAAGGCAACCAATATAATTTCAGTCTCAACCATTGCCCTGAAGATGGAGCGGTCAATGTGGTGGTGACTGAGTTGAGTAGGTTTCCTTACCCGTTCTGGACAGTTTCCATGTGGACAATAGAACTGGTCGATGTCGATAGGATGTTGGACTTCAGTCATGTTGAGGTCCCTGAAAATGAATCCGCTCGCTTTGCCTTGCCCGCCCTGCATTTACAACATCATATATGTTATCAGGGGAATTAATAGTGGTATATATGCCTATGGCTTGCAGTGGTGTGTGCAACCATCAGTTGATATCTTTGATCTGATGCAAGGCACACACATGCACAACACAGAGAAGGCATGTAGATGCTGCTTCAGTGTTACCTGCCAAGATTTGATCCTGACACCGTTCGTCGTGTTAAAGAAGTTGCAGTTGGATACTGTAATCCTCTCCACCATCGCTGGGCCTTCACCAGCACCTCCAAGGCTTCCCACACTACATAACAAGAAAGAAGCTGCTTAGGTAAATGTATGCTACTAATCACTAGAGAAATTAAATTCATCAGCCCTTATGCACTTGGTCAGTAAGACCTGCATATGTATGCATTGTTGTGCATTGTACCTGATGCCATGACCGGGCCCACACGTGATGTCAGTGACGTTGACATCGGTGGTTTCCGTTATAATCGACACACAATCATCACCTGCACTCGTCCAACGTACGTATGTTAGAGTATTGCAAACACACATGAAGCAATGGATTTTATCATCAAGGGCTGTTACTGTACCGGACTTGATGGAGGAAGAGGAGACGCGGACATGGTCGGAGGCCCCAATGGTGATCCCGTCCGTGTTAGGGCTGTCGCAGGGCGCGGAGATGGAGACGTTGTGCACCAGCGCCTGGCTGCACCTGTACACGCTGATGTGCTTGAGGGCGCTGTCCTTGAGGCGTATGTTGGTCACCCGTAGACCGTTGCAGAACGAGAATGACACCAGCTGTGGGTTGGTTACAATTACATGCACCTGAATTAGCTTTCGCGTGCGTACGTGCAGACGTGTCTGTCTGTCTAGACTGAAATGGGTATTTTTGGTTCGGCAGGTAGAAGAGGTGTTGCGTGTGTGCTTACCATTGGCCGGACACTGCATTTCTGTCAGAGACGAGAGGGGCAGCTGATCAGAGTGTGGGCAAGATATGAAGATGGATTGAAGAAGCAACGGCTATGTTTGTGTGGGTTGTTACCTTGTGGTTGTGGCAATCCCACCACGGGGCGCCTCGGCCGTCGATCTGGCCGCTGCCGTCCACCGTCAGGTTGTCGACCTCGTGGAAGGTCAGCACGCTTGACGATTTTAGCTGCCAGAGGGTGCTTGGCGCCACGATGTCCCCGTCCACCTGCAGAGACGCTCCAGCCTCAGTTTATACTGTCGGCGATTATACTGTACTATACTAGATAAGAGTACGGTCAGATCGTCGGTAGACGGTCAGGTGTTAGTTACCTGCATCGTGATGGGTGACTTGCAGGGCCCGTTGAAAGTGGCGTCGCGCAGCAAGAAGGTCCTTCCCACAGGGACGTACACGTTGGCTCCGCCGCTGTCCCTGCACGCAGAGTCCCATGTCTCCTCGAACGCCTGTCGGTGACGAAGACGGAGGATGCAGATGAGTGAGTCAGAAAGATCTGAAATGACGGGCAATGACCAAGAAGCATGCAGGTGAAGAATCATATGTAGGTCGAGGCTACGCTGTTGTTATACCTTGGTATCATCCGTCACGCCGTCCCCAGCGGCATGGAAAGCCATGACGCTGTATCGAGTCCCTTCCCCTTTCCACACCTTGGTCGCCGCCGCCGCCGCAGAACGAACTGTGGCCGATACCACAAGAAGCAGCAGCAGCGGCAGGACGAGGAACAAGGAGGTGCGTCCTGCTGCTGCAACCCTCTGCCATTTTCAAGATCCGTACGTCAGGCAAAAGCAACATATAGATGATGAGAAGGAAAATCTACATGTACTACTACTTTTCGATCGAGCTGGTGAGCAATGGTAGAGCGCATACCATGATGATCACCAACTCTGCCACTACGATCAGCAGCTGAATCGATCGGTCGAAGAAGACCTGGCTGGGGATGCTAGTACCGTCGTAGTCGTACTGATGATGCAGTCAGTCGTGTGTGCATCAATTTATACACGCGCGAGACGGGAGCGCGCGAGCGCAGGCGTAGCAGCAGCCAATCGGGAGAATTGAAGCCAAATATCTTTGTTTGTCGTAGCAGTAATAGTGCCCTGGAAATCCAAAATCTCCATGTATTTAGATCTCGTGTTGGAATTCATTTCTCATAGCTAGGTCGGATCGGTGCAGGAGATCGCGGCCGCCTGTCCTTTCCCGGTTTGGAAGAGGAGATGTAGCTGTGCGCGAGCCCCAAAATGCCATGAGGTTATCTCGCACAGCTGCATGCATGCGCGCCATTTACAGAATGCAATCGCGGCCGTGTCCCCGCTTGCATGGCTTGATTAAAGGGTGAATTTACTCCCTTCGGGAGCAAGATACAGAGGATATCGTTGCTGCGGTTAGGGATCGGGCGAATGCATGCATGCACGTGAGCGCGGCTCTGGGCCGTGCAATCGCGAGATGGACGGCTTGGATGGCGCGGGCCGGGCAGTTAAGATCTTGCAGCATCTAAACGTACATTCGAATATTTTCAGAATATCGCGTACATTCGAATATTTTCAGAATATCGCGTGTATTATTTTTCACGCTTGCCAATGAATGCTCCGCAGATACACTGACCGGCAACGTTTCTGGCGAGTCGTGATGGCTTACGTGTGTGTGTATGTCAGCGAAAATATTGTCCTACTTTAAAAAAAATAAAAAAAATCGGCGTATCGTTTAATGATTTATCTGAACTACCATATTTTTTTTGCGAGATGAATTATCCTATTATCTACCGGAGCTAATTTCAGAGCAAAGCAAAGGAGAAGTATTGGCAACTGCATTTGATGCATCAACAAGAAACATACTCAAGTTGATGATTTAGGGAATGCTACAAACCTCAAATTCATCTTTGTATTTTTGAACAAGTTTATGTATTGAAGATCACACTACTGGAATCGACTCCTTTGCCGAGGGCCTAAGACACTCGGTGAAGGCTCAAAAGAACTTGCCAAAGCCTTTGCCGAGAACAATTCTCAGCAAAATGCATTCGGCGTACACCCCTCAGGCAAACATAACTTTGCTGAGAACCGTTGTCGGGAGCTCGACATACTAATTGCCGAGAGCCAAAAGGGGTACTCTCGGTAAAATAAAGCGACTTCAGTTCCGTGAGCTAAGGATAGCACCATCATGTCTTTGCTGAGAAGCTAAGGAGAACTTAACAAACACTTTCCTAGTTGGCGGGTTTCAGCTGTTTGCTTACGTAGCACAAGAAATTCACCAGGAGCTACCACGTGTCACCTTTTGCCGAGAGCCATCATGAAGCTTTCGACTTATATACACCAACAACTCCCCAGGTAGTCCTTTTTGTTGTGATCCTTCTCTAGGCTCTTGGCAAATAGTCAGCCGAGCTGCCAGCACCTGCCACGTGGCCTAGTTGCCGAGATTGACTCTCGGAAAAGATTACTTTGTCGAGTGTCCCTCCCGTAAAAAGGCATTGTCAGCCTAGTTTCAATTCTTTTCCATATAACCCTGCAGCAAAAACAGATATAACATTAATATCAAATAGGAATCACATACAAAAAATGCATACTCTATAAGGGCCACATACATAACAATGAACTCACAAAAGCATCATATATGGCCCACACAAGCTTCATATGAAGTTACAAAGTAGTTATTTAGCACAAGTGTCTCCTCACTAAACAACAATGTGGCCAATGCATGTTACATACAAACACATGATAAAAGCAACACCACAATTAGGATGAACTAGAAGAACATTACCAAGTTCTTGAACCCACTCAACCGGATAAGTTGTCCTGCACCATTGCCTACTTCATGATTGCTCTTCTCACTAAGCACATACCTGGAGTAATTATTCTCTGTTTCCTCCCTACTATTGAACGATTTGAAGGAGCAACCTTTGTAACCAATCACTTGTTAATTGCATGAGTACCATCAACCGTAGACACCTGGATACCTCACTCACTGGTATTTCAACCGTTGGTGATGGGCATTCCTTCTCTTCCTTCCTTGTTACCAAGGTCGGCAGAGGAAGGAAAAAGAAAGGAACGACACCCTACGATAACAATCGGGATCCATTATCAATGGACATATCTAACAAAGGGAGCACCATCTGACTGAAAGTCAAGACACAGATCCTTAACGTCTACATTGTTGAAAACTACTACTTTTTGGTACTGTTTGACCTTTTTGAACTTAAATCATGTTCAGTGAGCAATGGCCTACTAAATTGTACCAACCAATGATTGTCATAACCAAAATATAACATAAGAATCTAACAAAAAAAATCTCCGTCGCTAACCAACGAGGTCCGTCAAGTGTCCGTCACGGTCTCGGTCGCCACAAGGGCAGGTGTCGTGGTTCTAAGTCTGACAGTAGAATGGGAGGTAGGTATGGAGAGGCAAGATCCTAGCTATGGAGCAGTTGTACGCACGAGTGTTTTACGAGTTCATGCCCTTCTCGGAGGAAGTAACAGCCCTACGTCTCGGAGCCCGGAGGCAGTCGACTGGTTTATGTGTATATGAGTTACAGGGGTGCGAACCCTTCTACCAGTGGAGGGGGGTGGCTTATATAGAGGACGCCAGGACCCCAGCCAGCCCACGTAGCAGAGGGTTAAACTACATTAAGGCCTAGTGTTACTGGTAACACCCTACATAAAGTGTCATCATGACCATTAAGACTACTTAATTACAGACCGTTTGGATACAGAATAGATCCTGAATTCCTGATGGTCGAGTGAGTCTTCATGGTCGAGTGTCTTCTAGTCCGTCGAGTGGAGTTCCTCTTGGTCGAATGAAAGACGGCTTCTTCTAAGAGATGTCCTTGGGGAGGGTACCTTGGACAGGCCCGTAACCCTACCCTAGGTACATGGCTTCATCAGTAGCCCCCAAATGGATCGAGGTTTGAGTGAGGACGGAGTTGGCAATTTTTCTGACTTGCTTTTTGGTACTGTAAAGGTGTTTTCGCTCAGGATCAATGACTTTTAAGTGAGGGTGTCAACTTTCTTCAGTCGCCTTGATCCATTCTTTATATCTATCGAGTGAACTTTATGAACTTGGAGATTTCCGAGCGACGGATCGCAGGAGATGTTCCGTCTGACAAGTTACCCTGTTGGTTAGTGGATTTAGTGGGATCCGAATTTTGGGAAGCGCGCGAAGCGGAGAACGCCGCGGTACTCGGACGGGATAAGGCAGGGACGCCTCGATCTCCGCGCCGCCTTTTTCGCCACGTATGGCGTGCGCGACTGTTTTGGGATTTGATAGGATTGCCTGGGCCTACCCGTCAGCCACTCGGAAGTGACTCCATATAAGGAACTAGGCGGAGGTTTTCCGAACAGTGCCTCCTCATTTTCTCCTCGCTCGTCTCCAGATTCATCTGCTGCGCTCGCCAACTGCCCAGCGCCGTTGCTCTGTTCGGGCTTCGTCGGCGGCAATGGTGAAGGAGAAGACGGCGGCTTTGGAGCGGGCGAAGAAGGCGACAGTGCAAGCGAAGGGGAGAGCACCCAGTCGGGGTGGATCCTCGTTGCGGCCTCGTCTGCCGCAGGGTTGGATCCAAGGAGATTGCATCCGCTCGACCATCACCCAGAAGGACCTCGATGACTTAGCCAATGAGGGGCTGATCGAGCATGGAGTAGCGAGGCTTCCGGGGACGGAGTGTCAACCGCAACCTCAGGAGGGTGAGTGCGTCCTCTTGGCGACTCATGTAGATCGAGGGTTTTCTTTGCCGCCGCATCTTTTCTTCCGAGGATTTCTGAATTTCTTCGAAGCTCAGCTTCACCATTTCACTCCAAATTCTATCGCCTATCTCTCCGCCTTTGTATCTCTGTGTGAGAATTTCTTGGGTTGTCGGCCGCACTAGGGCGTCTTCAAGCATATATTCACTTGTCGTTCCCAAACGGTGAAAAAGGCCAGCCCCAATGATGAGAGAACTCAGGTGATCCAGATGTATGGGGGTCTCGGGGTCCAGATGAGGAGTAAGAGCGCTTTCCCTGCTATGACCCTTCCCGAGTCGGTTAGAGGGTGGCAGTCGACCTGGTTCTACTGCCAAGACCAGTCGACGCCAGGGCAGTCGACCGGGCTCCCTCCCTTCTCCATGAGTCGAGTGAACAAGCCCTCCTCTCTGAAAGTAGTTCCGGAGGAGAAGGCTCAGGTGAAAATGTTGATGGAGCGGGTAGTTCAGTTGATTTGTGACGGCGTGACCGGCATGGACCTTCTGGAGGTTTTCCTTCGGCGGCGCATCCAACCACTCCAGTACCGGGGGCACCCGATGTGGCTGTATTCTGGTACTGAAGACACCAGTCGGGTCCACCCAGAGGAGGTCGACGATGCTACACTGGAGAGGTGGATGACTGCCATCACTGGGAACAAGGACAACCCTCGGGGAGCTAGGAGGATCGTTCCACTCGACCAATCTTATGAGGTGGACAAGGTGCGACTATTTTCCTCCGATTGTTCCGTCCATTCTGTTTCGTCGTAAATCGGTCGATTGACCTTTGTCTTGCTTGCTGTCTTTCAGGAAACCACTGAGCTGTACTCGATGCCCAACGGGGCGCAGGCGCAGGCCGAAGAGGAGGAAGGAAGCGGAGGCGAAAGCCAAGAGGAGTGGGAGTCGGACGTCGATGAGGGTGAGGAAGACGCAGGTTCTGACGAGGAGGAAGAGGAGGAGGAAGAGGAGGAGGAAGTTGCGCCTCCTCGTTCTGAAAGGAGGTCCAAACTCACCCACGACCCTGCGGCTGATCATGGCAAGGGAGTCGCGCCTGCTGGGCAGTCGACTAAACGTCCTCGGACAACTTCACCGGCACCGACTGAAAAGGCGTCGAAGCAACCCCGAGCGGCCCCGTCAATACCGGCGAAGGCCCTACCGAAGATGAGGATGGAGATTCC